TAATCGATTACATTTTTTGCTCTGATTCGTAACACTAAGGGTAAGCAACAAACTTGAAATCTTCCCCATATATTGTGATTAAATAACATAAAATTTATAGTGACAATATATAACAATTATTAACTATAAAAAGTTGTATGTATTGAAAAAAATCGAATAATAAATGAATTTTTTGAATTACTAATAAGCAAAATTTACATATTTATTAGCCATTTCATTTATCTATTAATAGCCTTCAGCCGCCAAAAAAGTTGCAACTTTTAAATAAAATTCAACAGGATCAAAGCTTGAACCTATTTTAATTCTCCATCTATTAGTCAAGTCCCAATGATCACATTCTACAGTCCCAAAATATTTGCCCCATTGAGCGGATCTAACACTAACCAATCCATCATTAGGACCTTTTTGTCTTTAATTATCTGATGAGGAATATATAAAGGTGACCAAAATGGAACATTTGTAGAAGCACCATATGAATAGTATTCAACTGATGGATCATTAGGAGTGACCCTATTAAAATAGTTAACACAATAATCAGTAGTGAGATTACTGTAAGCAGGAGTATCAACAGCGTGAATTAAAGATTGAGTGACGGGGCGCAAAATAGTATATGTTGCTTGTGGAATAGAAAATAGGCTAGAAAGGTTAATTTTTGAAAGGTTAATGTTTGAAAGGTTAATTTTTGAAAGGTTAATGTTTGAAAGGTTAATATTTGAAAGGTTATTGTTTGGAAGGTTAATTTTTGAAAGGTTAATGTTTGGAAGAGAAAGGTTAAAATTCGGAAGGTGTATGCTGAATGATTTCTTATTAGAAGCATTAGATGATTCAGATTTATCCGATTTTGTACTAACAATAGTATCACGAGGATATTCTGCTGGAAACGAATCTTTTTGATTTACTGCTTGAGAATGAGACCTTGATTCTGATAGAGAAGATCTTGAATCATTGGGGTTCTTACGGTCACGCGTTTTCTCAGCCATTTGTTTTAAAGCATCATCTACAACTTTAGCAGCTCCTTCAAACGTTTGACTAATTTCGCCCACTCCAATATTATCCCGACACCAATCCATAAATGGACTGCCGCGGTGTGGAGTTGCTACTGTAGTCAATGTTCGAACGATATACTTATCAGTGGGAAGATGAGAAATCAGACATCTACAATCTAGTCCACCCTTAAAGATTGAAAAATGATAAATTATAAAAAAAAGCGAGATTAGAAAATGCCG